TCTTTTCTCCTTGTGATTTTATAATCCTGTCAAGACTCTGGAAGCAGACTGATGCCGTAGGCAAAAGATGGACACCGGAGTCACACCGCAATTTCAGTACATGTTGGTACCTGCTGATCGCAGCCTTCGGGTGAGCGCAGCGAGGCCAAGCACCGGCGCCCTCACGATGGCGCCAGGAAACCGCCAGGGCGGGAAAGGGAGCGGCGGGAGGGAAAGGGTGGATTTCCCTGGAGCTGCGGGCGAAATGGTCTCCGGGGCGACGTGAGGGCAGAGCGCCACTGGGGGTCTCTGGGATGCGGGTGGCAAATCCCTCGCTGGTTTCCCGGAGCCGGTTTCAGGGCAGTGAGCTGGCAGAGATGCTGGGCTCTGCTGTGGAAGCTCGTCCTCTCCTCCTGTGAGCCCATTGTACGAATTAACCCAGACGCGAGTGTGACACCCGTGCCCCTCTCTCTGTCAGCCTTCAGGCTCCCAGAACATCACCTTTGCTCCTCTCTTGGCCTTCTGGGTAACAATGTGCTGAGTTTTTTTTTTTTTTGTTTGTTTGGTTTTTTTTTGTCTTCTTTGACTTGTCCCAGAGCAGCAGTGTTACAGAAAGTACCCTGGGTGTCAATGCTGAGATCAGATCCACAGCTTTGTTAACTCTGCAAAAAACACTGTTTAGCAAGAGCAGCTCAACAGACAAGGGCTGGCTGGAAGAGGGGACTGCCCCTACTGTGCACTGCCAAGAAATGGGAAAGGGTATTTGGCATCTCGCCTAGTAACAAAATATGTGGGCGTTCCAGAGGGTCTGCGGCCAGCAAAGGGAGGCATGGCCTTTTCTCTCTGGTTGAGTTGAATTCAGGCAAAAGGCCCAGCAGCTGCAAGAGAGCTTAGCAGTACAGTTTCCTTAAGACATCTGCTTTCCTGAACAACCAGCTTACCCCAGAACCTTATTACTACTATTCCACAACCTCTTCCAACTCTGCCATGGGACCCCTTTCATTCCTGGGAGTGCAGAAGTCTGAGGCATAGAAAAGTAAAATGACATCCCCAAAGTCCTGTAGGTAGAAATTTAATTGAGTCTTCTGCATGCCAGGTGCAGTATAAGCAGTAAAAAGCATTGGGTCTCTACTTTCCCAGCCTCAAGATAGCGAAAAGCTAGAGCAAGCTTTGTCACTGGAAACACAGGGAGTCAGAAACACAGAAGAATAGAAGCAAGAGTAAGAATGATCTGCCACAGCACATTTTATTACCAATGTTTGTAGGCTGCTAATTTTTTCACAGTTGTGACCATTTCTACCCCAAAAGGTGGTTATGTCCCCAAATCCTTCTATTCAGGACAAAACAGGGCTGGGCTCATTGCCATGAAAAATATGTTTCACCTCTAGACTCAGCCAGAAGACAAATTTCTCTCCAGAACTGTCTGTTTTCAATGCGAAAAAGGATCATCTATTCCTGCTTAGAAACTTGTTGCTGAAATAAATTTCTGTGGCTTTAACTGGCTACAGAGACAGCCCTTGTATATAATTGTGTTAGGCCGGAAATGTCTTGTTTTTACCAGTAAATTCTCAGGAAATAAATCAGGGTAGCTGCAGTATTGAGACACAAAGTGAGGAGATGGATACCTGCTTTTCTGTCTAGACCCTTCTGTGACTTACCTGAGGGTTGCAAGAGCTAAGAATGGCATTGGAACCTTTCCAGGAGCAGCTGCTGGAAGTAGCAGGAGAAGTGGGTAATGTTACAGTGTCTGTCCCTGCATTACAGCTAAAGTGTTATCTATGTGGTATGCACAGAGTGAAACATGGTCTTCCTCAATCCTTAGTGAACCAGACACCCTGCAGAGGATGTGTTCCTGGCACTTACAAATGATCTGTGCCACCTGAAAAGAAATTTTTTCTCATGTGCTGTACTCTGGAACAGCTGTGCACTTTCCACACAAAGCTGCTTCTCATGTTCCCCACACATGTCCTTTTTTCACTCCTTTTCACTTGTGCAAGGTGTGCACAAAGCAAGGAGATTAGTAGTTGAACTATCCATATCAGCTAATGTTAATTTATTGTTCCCAATAATTGTTCTCTGTTTGGATCACACAGGAAAAAGTGTAGAGCAGTAGGACCTCAGGATTTACATGAAAAATGCAACTTACTGACACTGAAATGCTAGTTCTTCAACTTTGACTTGTTTTGCAAGGGCAGTTTTCTGGCATTAACTCATTTCCTGTGAGCAACTGTTTACAGAAAAGGAGCAAAGCAAACCAGCAATTTGGATCACAAGATGACTCACCCTGATCTCAAACTCCTTTGCCTTTCTCTGAAAGTTCAAAGAACTGAGAAAGTCACAGACTCCTTAGGTGATGGAGGGCCCAACACCTATGATGCAAAGCCAATCCATCACATGTATTTCCTTCAATGAAAATACGAATACAGAGATCATTGAAGAAACTTGTTTTGGTCAAGGACAACAAATGTATTGCAAGCATGATTACAAGTAAACAAAATTCAATTAAAGCCTTAACATTAGACTGGGGGAAAAAAAGCAAGCCCATCTGCCCTTTGCAACAAACTGCAACAGGTAAAGTTGACTCTGGATCACTTTTGATGAAGCTACAAAGGCAACATGACAAATAATGCATACATCACTCATGGCTACATAAAGGTTTCAGCAAGAATTCAACAACTCTGCTTTTCTAAATGAAGCAATTGCCCCCAAGTTTGTCCCACAATCCCACAGATACCTGTCTCCTTCACTGATTAGTGAAGATCAGCTCTTAAGACTGTAGGCCTGGGGTCCTTCGCTAGCTATCTCCTTCCAAGCATTTCAAGCACTGAGGAAACCAGTGCTAGTTCTGTGGGCTGAATCCCTCCCTGAACCACAAGCCTGAGAAGGGGGCGTGAGACTGTGGCATGCAAAGTAGAAAGCACTGTCAGCACACAGTGTGCTGTTGTTTGTGAAAACGCAAAGCCCAACTCAGGCATGCAGTGAAAAGGAAACTGCCACATTTAGCAGAGATCATGAGTAAAAAGAAGAAATGGGAACTCCTCTGGATGGAAAATTTAATCTCTGGAAAGAAAAATTAAAATTTAAATTTTAATTTTTCTATGAGTAGCCTACTCAGTGAAGCCCAGTATCCCTCTTTTTGTAAGTGCTAGTTCCAAGCTCTCCCTAGTTCTGTTTCTACCAGGTCAGGCTGCTCTTATATGAGCTGAGCATGGGCTGTTAGCTCCGAGAGCCAATGCTGGTTCACTTGCAGAAGTGCAGTTTTACCAGACTGAGGCTGCCCAGCACAAGCTGTGTCCACTGCAGAACACCATACCAGGCAGCACAACAGCACTATGCGCTCTCTTTGAATACCCTGAGGGGGCCTCTGAGCAGATGGACATCCCAAGGACCACATCTGAGGTGTAGAAATGAGGCTTGGATGGAAAGGAACTCAAAAATCATCTAGTTACAATGCCCCTGCCATTGACCAAAACACCTTTCACCAGACCAGACTGCTTCAAGACCCACCCAGCCTGCCCTTCAACACTTTAACGGATGGGGCATCTACAACTCCCCATTGGCACCATAGCTATGTATTTATCTGAGTTGTGCAGCTACCTGGTCAGACTGTAACCTCCCTGGCAGACATGGTCCCTAAGTGCAGGTGAGGGAGTGTGCCTATCCCCTGTTTTCTCTCAGCAGAGAAACTGGATGACAAATGTCTCAATGCACCAAAGCACATTGCTCCTCACGCAGCTAGTGCTTGTAAAACAGTTCAGATGAATTAAAACGTGTCTCTGACCACTGGGTCACATGGAAATTTCAGGTCAACAAGGCAAGAAAATTCTATGTCCATAGTATATGAAATGCTTTCTTGACTAAGTGTAATCTTGTTCAAAAGTATTTTTTCTTCCCCCACACTGTATTTCAGACTGCGTGGAAATAACTTGTTTAAACAAGGGAGTCTATCTACCTTTTCTGTCAAAAACATTAATTTTTGTCTGCTTCCTACTTGAAAATCCCACTTAATGAAGTGGGTTGTGTCTTTTTTTCTTTTGCAATTGCAATAGTGTCTGTCTCCTATCCTGTCAACTCTTATCAAACCTTCTGATCTTCAACTTCCCAGAAAGTCCACAGGGTGTCTACTTACCTTACATAAAAACAGACCGCAGTCAGAAGGATGGGATATTTAACAAAGCATGGTACTCCCTACTGTATTACCCAGTCCCTAGAGACATTTAAAATATTTTTTTTTTTAAAAAAGCAAATTCGGCTAGTGTCCTTGAAGGAACTCTGGGATCTAAGACAACACACCTGTCTTCAAGAACACATCATCCTTCGAGCAGCCTGCTTCCCCATGTGGTAGCAGAATGTCTGCTGGCCAAAAAACCTGACCACTCCTTTCCCAGTCTTATCTGCCTTTTCTGCCTCCAGTTAGGTGCACAAATTGTCTTTCCAGTACAGAGTCCCACTGGAAGCAGCAGTGTTGCTCATATTAAATTCAGGAATAACTCACCCTTGTAAAACTAGGGCAAAAATTGGCAATTCTGCCAGTGCTCAGGGAGTTGGCAGGCTAAAACAAAGAGCTCTGTGAAACTAAGCAAACTGTCATCTGAGAAAGACAGAGGCAGAACTGCGAGGTTTGATGTAGTGGCCACAGGCACAGCACTGAAATGGTGGTTAGCAGCCTCTTGGCTTAGGGAGATTAGGATGGAGAAGTTCTGCCAAAGGCCTTGTGGCACACACTCCCAGGATCAGCACTGTGCATGCTATGCTGGGGTACACCTTGAGCTTTTGCATCAGGGAGAGGGAAGGGAGCCTCTACCATGCCTCTCTGACATGCTCTTGGTCCCTCCAATCACCATGAACCCATCAACCTAATTTAGGAGTGGCAGAAATACCCAACCTATTCGGCACCTACAGGTTTTTCCATGACCTTCAGTGGCATAGTAGAGGACAGAAGATCTACTAGCAAGTTCTTCTGAACAGCCCAAATATGGAGTGCTTCAACTGAAATGTGTTCATGATAAAACAAGTCCAGAAATAAAACACTGACTTTATTAGCTGTGATTCTGAAAGCATAGGAAAGACAAAGGCATTTCTTCCATGCTATTCTGAGGTTGCTGGTCTGGAATGCTAGTACTGCTTTCCAAAAGGCATCTAGGAGGCACTTTTTTTTTTTTTGTGGACTGTGCAGTTTGTGAGTACCCACATGGCACTTAACTCTTTGGAAAATCAGCATGGCAGTATGCAGAAGAGGCAGACATGGTAGGGCCCACTTGAAACAATAAGAATTGTCATAACTTCCGACAGGAGAATGAACCTACCTCAGCCTGTCTTAGTTGGAGCAAACAAGATTACAAGCCATTTTGGAGTGGGCTAAAATAACTATTTCTTGATCAGAAATCACAAAGCCTGGCAAGCCACAGTGAACTCTCCAGGACAACTCCTTCAGCTTCAAACTTCTCCTGAGTGCTTCAGGATTTCATTTCCCAATGCTTCTCTCACAGACAGAAAACAAACAGCACCCCTTTTCATAGCAACTTCAAGAAACAAAGACACTTGCACAATCACAGACTGGAAACAAAGATCTACCATTTGCAGACCACCACTCCTAAAATGCAGAAGTGAACCACAATGGACAACATTGAGACATCATTACTGAGGAGGAAGAGGACAGTTATTTTATAAGCTTGGCTGGCGATCTCGATTTCTCAAGGCAGAATAAAAACACGTGGGACCAAGTCTCTCCTATGTAACTGGCATTAAGGACATGTCAGAAGTCCAGTAGTAGGCTTTGTGGCTCAGCTTTGCAAGGGCAAGTGCTAGTGCTGGGTTTACCTAGGTGCAACATGAAGGGACACAGGCTCACCATCTCTGGCAAATCCCAGGAAACCTGGTGGTAGGAGCAAATCCATATGAGGAAAGGCAAAGGAGGTATTAGAATAACTGGGTAAAGTCAAGGAAGAATCATCAGACTAGCCATGTCCTTCTCGTTTCCCTAATAATGCACATGAAACATCTCCTAGAATATGCTGCACCTCTGAAAAGCTACTACAGTTGCAGTGAAATACAGCTGCCTGAACTCAGATATCCAAGCTGAAGGAAAAATTGAAGAACTGTACTCCAGGTCTTCTTTTAAAACAGCAAGAAGTACTGTATAAAAAACATTTCCCTGTACAGAAACATTAAAATGAGAAACATAAGCGTCTGCATCTTTCTTCGGCTAGTATTAAATTTCATCATAGCTAATGGAAACCACCAGTGGCTGCTCTACAACAGCCCTAAAAGCAATGAAAAGGAGCTCACTGACTGTGTGAAAGTGCAGATTGGTCCTAGCCCTGTGCACCTCAAAGTATGTTGTAGAGTGGAAAAATCTTGTTCCCCTAGAAGGAAACAGGTTTTAAAAAAACACAAAGAGAGAACTATGTCATTTGCCTGGTTGTTTTGTAGACCTTTCACATTTCTGAAGGAGATAGATTCCAGGGATGCCTGTTATGAGGAACTTTTCTCCTTGTATTTCTGGTAAGCATCCAATATCTCCTTAACAACAGTTGGATCATCAAGTGTGGTGACATCTCCCATGTTGTTTGATTGTTCAGTGACTACTTTCCTCAGCAGCCTTCTCAGGATCTTCCCTGATCGGGTTTTAGGGAGACGTTTCACCACCTGCAAAGAAGGAACAGACATACCTGTAATAGAACCTAAGTCCTGCTGGAAACCACAAGGAAATCTGGCTGAACTGTCCTAAGCATGGCACACTATTTCATAGCCACAGCTCCTCTGAGGCTCCTGGGAAACAGACCATTGATCACTCTAGTTTATGTCCAAGGAAAGGAGTGTAACTAGCATCAATTCCTCATGCTATAAATTTATTTTAAGTGGACTTTGTTCCCCATTGCCACGTATGTCCAGGCTGGATGCTGCAGGACACGTAGCTCTTTTGGGAATGAGGTCCTGAATAAGCTGCTAACTATTGAAATCTAATTGCATGTGAAAACTCAGGCACTAATGGTGACACAGATCCCAATGCCTTACCAGAGCACACAGATATGTGTATTCCCCTTTAAAGGGCAGGAATATAAAGCACACAATTCTGCACACGAGCTGCTCAGCGGATAACTCCTGTCTGCTGGTGTTTTTCTCTGCCTGGTTATATCTGTCAGCCTACCCACCTTCCTTCATAATCAGGACAATGTTAAATGCCTTGGCTGTGTCTCATGCAAAGGACTTAATAGCAGATTCAAAGGCTTTAGCATAAACCTTAATAAGAGCATATACTCTTCTGGTGAAGAGTTTTCAGGCATTGAACAGAGACACTAGCAGGTCTCACATTTTACTGCATGATCAGGCCAGTAGGCCACAAAGCTTAAAAGCATTAGCTAACATGCAAGGTAAGAGTTACAGAACTTCTCTGCAGGACTACCCCTAAACACAGGGAAACGGGCATTTCCTTGCCAACCTGCAAGTTCTGGAAGCTTCTCCAATCCAGTGAGGGTACCCTGGGCTGTACCCAATGAGCCACCCTTGCCTGCTCCTGTTGTTTTCTTTCCTGTGCTTTGGTGTCCACCTCACAAGCAAGTGGCTAAAGCAGAACCCCTCAAAGAAGTGGTGTCACTGCCTCCAAGCGGAATGAAGGATGCAGGCAGGCCTTGGGACACAACTAAGGGGCAGCTTTCTGAACTCTCTCCTACTACACAAAGGGAGCTGAAAAGATGAGAAGGTTTGTGAAAGAGCCTGGAGCTTATCAGTGCTTCCACTGCCAGGTTGAACAGCTTCCTGTTATCCAACAGAAAACAGCCAGTGCTTTGAGACCTGAAGTTGATGCTAATTATCAATGCAAACTAGCTGGGCAGCGGGAGGTGTCGCTGCCTCTCAGTGACACTGAAGACTGTGACGTTTGGTTCAGTTTTATCTGATCCATTGCACAGGGCCACAGAGAGCAGTACTGCATTGCTTCAGCTGAGGGAAGAGCTGTATGAAGCAGCAACACTGCTGCACTTAACCAGGGACATCAAGCACATACTGAGACACATGGCAGCCCTGGAGTTTCCTTCTGCAAGAGCTCCTGCCAAGCATAGTGCTCTCAACACTCTCTGTGCGTACCATTTAAGGGGTTGTTCAGCACTCAAGGAGCAGCCTCAGGGAAGCTCTAACACACTCCGTGACAGCCCCACTGAGAAGCCGCTCTCAGGCTGGAGCAGCTGTAAAATCCCAGCCACCTCTGGGTCACTGCCAATGCTTGGGCATGGAGAAAGGAGCACAGGCAGACCACTGCATCTGCCCTCCCCTTCCTAGGATCCCTCCAGCTAGTTCTGTTTTCCTGCTTCTTTTGTCCTGCCAGAGAATGACAACAGTGGCACTGCAGGCAGGAAGGTGAGGCTTGCTCAGGGTGACCATTCCCGTTCCTGGTACCAGTTTCAGTCTCCCACTCACCAGAATGTGGTCAGGCACAGCATATTTTGCTATCTTGGAAGCCACTATGGTTTTGAGCTCTTCTTTGACACGGTCTGCGTGAGCTGCCTGCTCCTTTAGCACTACGAAAGCAAAGGCACCTGGAAGACAATTGAGCAGAGGTCACAAACCTCACATTAGATACTGGCTGACAAGACCAGAGATACTCACTTGAATGCCAAGGCACGTTTCAAATCATTCCTATGCACAATGTAGGGACTGACAAGAAAACCACAGATCCTGTTTACAAAAGCGAGTCAGATCCCAGCCCTCAAATGATGGCTCAGCCTTTTCTTGGCATCTATGGATCAGACTGATCTTAGTGACAACAAGAAGTCAACAAAAGTATCATTGTGATCAAGAGCTGGCCACCACAAATCAGCCATTTCCCATTCTGTTCAAAGGACATCTCTAAGCACAATCTAAAAGGAAGCTCTACCATATACATAAACACTATGTGCTCAGACAGTTTAGGGAGTAACATCTGCACCCAGTTTAGGAAATGTAGCTATTTTCGTGGCTGTCTTTGCTTCTTGGGGCTGAAATATGAGTCAGGCTGAGGATAACTGCCCTCCCAGTCCCTAAGCATCTCCTAACATACACTTAGGTTAGAATTTTAGGGAAGTGTATGTAGATGTCGTGTCAGGACACTGCTTTTCACATACCTTCTCCTTTGATCTTATGTGGATACCCAATCACAGCTGTCTCAGGGACCTCAGGGTGATCAGCCTTCACAAAAAGTGAAAAAAAAAATACACAGATCATAAAGTCCTACAGAGTTTGCTCCAGTAGCTGTAAGAATAAAACATCTTGCCATATCTTGCTCTCCCCTTGACAGATCCTGATGAAAGCATAACAAGAAAACTGGATGCTGACTTTCTACTGCATAGCAAGCTAGTGGCCATGGCTATGGCCACGTATCAGGGAGTAGCCCTGTACTAGCCCAGCTTGTATACACACAGTTAAGTACTCTTACATTCACTGCTAAGGCCACAGCACATCAAACTGCATTTGCAACAGCTAAAAATCTGTTTTCTCCTTCTTTGTGCTTGACTATGGTCCCAGGTGGTGACTGGCCACAGCCAAATCACCAAGCAAAACCAGTTCCTGCAATGTTCAGTGCTACAGGAAACTCTGGCCAGCAGAGCAAAATTGAAGCTGCCAACATCACAGTCCACATTTTACTGCATTTATAAGTGCTCAAAGTCCATCAGAGGGCAGAAATCAGACCTCTTCATCTTCCCAGAAGAGAGAAGGCTGCTTTGCAATTGCATTTTTATTATTATGCTACACTATAATGATTTTGTCTGCTGCAATTCAAAGTTTAAGTTTATATTCTTCTACAGTAAGATTACAATTTGGGTGCGCAGACCAGAAGAAATCACATATCTGAATCTCACATCAAAGAAGGGATTATCTTATCTTAAATTAGAATAAAGTATGAAAGGAAACATCATACAGCAATCTAAGTACATAAATATATTTGCATATACATATGCATACACATCTATGGATTGTGAGAGGAACTCGATCCTATAGCTGTGATCAGAAACCCACACAGACAAAAGAATTATTTTTAGAGGAGAAAGTAGAATCCTGTGTTCCATGCAAACATAGCTCAGGTTTATCAGATGTTACATTTAAGTGACATTTGCAGGCAATGCACATAACATAGAAATAAATATTCAGGTCAAGCTTTAAAGATAAATGCTCCGAGGACTTTCTGTTTTCCATTCTCTAAGTTAATATTATTTTCTCTCAAAATGACAGGTAAGTTTTGCAGCTGACATAAATCAAGGTTGCTTTATGTTTAACACTTTTGAATTCTCAGGTATATTCAGCTAATTTGGATGAGCAAGAACCTCAGGTTTGGGAAGGAGAGGTCAGATGTTAGCAGAGGAGAAGGAACAAATGGGAGAGAGATTTATGGAGGGTCCACCAGCATCCAAAACAACAACTGCAACAGTACAAGATCACTGAGAGGAAATACAGCCCTGACAGTTCAACTGCAGGGACTGCTCACAGTGTGACTCCTCTCTCACTTGCTCATTTGTTGTCCCTTAAATAAAAGGGAGCTGTTTCCTCTTGCACATTTGCTATACATCGTGCATCAAGCTGTGGGTATGCAGGGGCAGGGGTTTGAAGGCAAGAGACCCTTCACAATGCTGCTTTGAAAGGGTCACTGTACCCCACAGATATGCCCTGCCAAGGTACCTCTACCTGCTCGGAACTTACCATTGCATCTTCTATCTCTGCTGTCCCCAGCCTGTGCCCGCTGATGTTAATGACATCATCCATGCGCCCTGTTATCTGGTAATAGCCTTGCTTGGTCCTGTAAGCACCATCCCCTGTGAAGTAGTAACCTACAGCAAAGACACAAATGTGGTCAGCAGCAGGAAGTGTCTCAGCCTATTGTTTTGGGCTCTGGTGCAGAACAGACTTTGCTCTAGGATGGCAAGTAGGGCAGGTTGGATCGGGCAGCTCCCAGGCCCTGCTAAGCTCACAGCTGCGTGACCTGCCTCACACCATTTCCCACTTCCCTCTGCCATCCCTGACCTTTGCCTGCTCTACCTGGGCTGTGCTGGCTCCTATAAGCACCTGAACAGCACCAAGATGGACAAAATCACTGTGGGCAATCAGCAGCAACAAGTGGCTGATAGTAAAACCAAGTCCAGCAACACAACACAGTGGTGCACAGTTGGATTTACAAACCAAGGGAGGCTCTCTGATCTCCCTAGGATTTATATGCCTACAGCTGCACAGCAACTGTATGCTCAGGCCTGGTGCATATAGCACTAAGTTAAAATCACCTCTAATGCCATCTGCCATCGTGCCACAGGTTATTTGTCAAACTCAGGTCTGCTGCTAGCTGCACTTCAGGACTCATAGAAAACTACAACTGCTCAGCTGAAAGGGAGCAGTTCTATTACGTTTTGTACATGGGAACACTGCCAGTTTTTTTAATCACTTACACTGGGATGGATGAAAAGCCATTTTCCCTCCCGGCTAACAAAGATTCAGATTCCAGATAACAGTCCCTCTCCAGCATATAAGCGTAGAATAAACACTGTTATCAGATTAGCTAAAAATAAACACCAAACCCATGCCACAATAAACATGGTGTTCAGAGAGTCCAAAACATTTGATGGAAACTGAAAAAGACCCAGCATTTCCTGGAAACTCCAGTGTCACCAAGGACACATCTGGATTGTGTTGGCTTTTCATCAAAGCTATGTCTGCATCTGAATTGTTCCAGTGACACATCTGAGCAGCAGCAAGTAGCTAGTGCTGTGAAATCTGAAGGTGATTCTTGCCAGGACGTGTTATTGGCCAATTCATGGATTTTCAGTCATGTCATCTGCCCTTCCAGATCAATTAAACAACTAAACAATTAAACAATTAAACAACTAAATATCAACAAGACATCACATGCAAATATGAGATGCAAATATGTACTGATCAATAAGGGACTATGGGATCATTCAATTTCTTGTACCAATTTCCCATTCTTATTATCCAACCCATTTTGTACAAATTTTCAGGATTGCTTCTCTAGTTATTGCCTACCCTGTAGCTTTCGAATCCCTTTCAGTTGTTCTCCTGAGTGAAGACAATGGTCTTTCTTGTTCAATCTCCTAAAAAAAGGGTTCCTTGCCACTTCTAGTTACTTCAGATTCAACTTGACCACATTTCAAAAATGCAGCCCGTGACAGCAGGTGTGAGATTGCGACGCAGGAGGTACTTTCCCATTAAATATGCCTATTTCCAAGTGGGACACAAAGCTCCAAAGAAAAGTACTTGGGCTTTAAAGCTTGGGCATTAAAGTTTTATAAAAAATACCTGCCCTTTTGACAGCTAGAAAGGTCAACACTACCAAAAACCATCAGTGCGTGCTTGCAACATGTGACACATATCCCACGCCACCATGATCTGGATAGTACAAAAATATGAGAAAGTACTGCTGAAAATATTCAGAGTGCTTACACTGCAGTGCAAACTGCCTTCTCCTTTGGCACTTTCCTTACCTGGGTAGGCTCTGAAATAGACATCAACAAATCGCTGGTGATCTCCATAGATTGTTCTTGCCATGCCAGGCCACGGCTGGGCAATGCAGAGCGCACCGGACACATCATTGCCCTCTATAACCTTTCCCTGCAGGTTCAAGCACAGGAGCGATGATCAGGTGAACAAAATAGGAACAGTAAGGGCTTCTGTGTCACTGATCTGGCAAGAGTCACCCTGTTGCTCACTGCAGACTGCCAGTGGAAGGCCACAGATGGAGAAAATTAATCCCCTCATGGAGCTATTATGCATTGCACTGTCTGTATCATGCCTACCTCACCCCTTGAGGCCAGCAGCACAACAGAGAAGACTAAAAGAAAAGTCAGTCTCGTGATTCTCCACAGGGCAACTCCAGCAAAGATGTGCCAAGCAGCCAGAGGATGCCTGGGATGAGGCTAGCAGAGAAATACCTGGACATCTGCCTTCCACTTTCACTATTGGTAATTGCCACGTTCCCTTACCAAACTGTATGTGGAAGAAAATGCATGCTTTACTGTTTAACAGAGTGCTGGAGTGCAGATGGGGATCATCGACACAGCTTCACAGACTAGCACCAGTTTTCTCACAGACATGCCTAGTTGCAAGGCCTCATGCCTTGCATTTCCTTTGGAAAACTCCACTGGTCTGTTGGCTGTTCCAGTCTTGCCACGTCACTGGATGTTGCATGCACTGCTCCAACTGTTCAGCTCTGTGGTTCCCAGGAGCTGTGAGTCTTCTGACTTCTCTCATAAATGGAGGCAGCAGCTCTTAACTGGAAGTAGTGCAAGACCATAATAGCGGTGCTGAAAATGTAAAGAACTCTTCTAGACATCTGCTGATATCTTGCAACGCCCAGCTGCCAAATCTGTATAAACAAATCTGTATGGGCAAATCTGTATGCTCAATATATATATATATAAATTGCTCATCTATTCTACCATTTTAATGGAGAAACAAGCATCCTTCTGAATCTGTTCCTCTGCCATCTGAAAGGTGACGAAGGCAGAAACACATACCAGCTTCTTTTTTGGGCACCCAGCACAGCTTCAACTCACATTCTCATCCATCAGCACAGGCACAATCCCAAAGAAAGGTCTCATAGCCATAGCTGGAACGATCTCAGCTTTCTCCTCTGAAGGCCGTGGGGCAATGCAGATGCCACCAGTTTCTGGAAGACCAATGATATACAAATGAACCAGATATAGATAGTCCATCCAATGCTGGATGAAAGCAAACTCCAGCTCTTCTTAGGTCAAGATGGAAGCCACTTTGAAAGAAAAAGCCACCTGGAAGGAATATGCAACGCCAAGAAGCACAGCAATCTGAAAGCAGCACAACCCTGGAGTGGGCTGTAACTCACCCAGCCCCATTTCCTACACCGGAATTATTTTACAGAAAAAGCATAAGCATGGCAGGGGATTTATCTCCCACTGGTATTTCTGCAGCTGTCTAAGGTTAGCATGAAATGCATTTCAGGAATCTGAATTACTATTATTACAGAGTAGGAGATTAACCCATCCCTTACACGCAAGTTGAGCTTATCTTCTAGTCAAAATTGAACCTTTCAATCATCCTTTTTCATTCCTGCTGGGATGAACGTTAAATCAGATTCCAACTTTAATGAGATCCTTTCTATTCTAAAACTAATTCAGAAACACAAGAGAGAAACAAAACCACAGAAGGCTTTTAAAAACACAACTCAATAAATAAAGGTATGTTCTGCCACATGCCGAGTGCATTCCTCCACCAGCTTTGCTGAGGTTGTGAAAATTGAAACTAGGGGTTGGAAAGGCTGAATTTGACCCCAAACTTGGATCCAGCTGCCCTGATGTAGCTATGAGGAAGGTTCTCTGCGGGTCTCTAAACTTTAGACATGCAGCAAATAGTTTTACATATGGCTTACACATAGAATTATTCCCATGCATCCACTTCATGTTTTTGTTTATTTCGAAAAGGGGCACTTGAATTTTTTCAGGAAAAAGCACGGCAGACACCTGCTGTTCTCTGTTTGCACAGATAAAATCTGCATCAGAACAGGGACCCTGATTAAACTGAAGGTTGCTCTTCCTAAGCCAGTACTGATCCCAACTACAACACTGCAAGCTATGCTTCAGCATGGGGTTTGCCATATCCTACACATCCTGCAGCCAGCTGCACATCCGGCAGTAAAGTCATGTTCCAAAGGGAGCTGTGAGGTAGCACGGGTGCTTTAAAAATTATTTGCAAGGTGAAGACCTATTTTAAATTGTTCTAAAAGCACCAGTTTTAGCCACTGACATATGACAGCTATCAAGACCTCTAAGCTCTACCCTGCTCTTATGAAACCTGTCTCTTCAGAGGCAGCGCTGGTAGAGAAACGCCGTGTGTCCACATTACCTGTGCCCATGCTGTGAACATAGTGCCAATCCACCTGGACTTTAGGCAAGGCCAGCAGAGTCTGAGCATTGGTGCTCAGATGGGGTGCATTCAAACAGACCATCATTCAAAAATCCCATCTGGCAGCAGAGTGGACCATGTGCTATCCGTCACCACAGATAGACTGGACTGACTACTCTGGGGTTTCAGAAGCACCAGCCCAGTCTAAATTGCTGTAAGATCATGCCAGCAACAAAAGCTTCGAGGGCCTATTCAGAGATGTCTTTCAAAACCAGCTTTTGTTCATGGCTGTACTTCTTTGTAAAACCAGAGACAAAACTGACAATACCTACTGTCTCTTCTGCACTGTAAAGAACTACACCTAAAACTCAAACACAGCTCCGATTCTGTTGTATTACTGTCAATCACAACACAGCACTTACTAACATCTTAACAATAAGAGCCATAGAAATCATTCATCTGTCTCATCTGCACACACCACACTATTTAAATTGCTTCTCATAACTGCTATCTCACTCATTTGCTCATTCAAAGACTTTCAAGTGGATTCTTAAATCACCATTTGCTGATCTGTATGTCTACCAGGCTTTATTGGCTGGCAACAGGTTACTGCTTCAGAGAACAGCATAGAGTAGAAGACACTGCATAGAGCAGCACAATTAACACGATACATCGACGTCGTATCTGATAGGTGACACAACCAGCATCCATCAAACTGTTCCTGTGATCTCTCTCTCCACCCTCCTTTTAAATTCAAATGGCATATATAATCTTTCCAAGATTAATTTGGCTTCCTTTTTATTAAAACCATCAACTGTGGAGAATGATTGATTCTACTTTCAAACAAAATCAATTTCATGAATATTCATCATTATATTATGCTTCCAGGAGCTGGTAAATGTTTACCTGAAAAACTACGCCTGGTTCAAGGTAAGAACAAGCACTCTGCTCTAAGAGACTGTCCAGTGAATATTTTTTAACCTCTCACCTGATAGTTGTTGCTCCAAAACCCCAGGAGAAACAGAGTTTATTCCAAGATCTACTTCATGCTCCACTTAACAAACTAACCAAAGAATGTTATGGTAAAAATGGATTCTTCTCAACTACATCAATGTACAGTAATCAACTGCTTCTCTACGGTGTTTTCTTTCAAGAGCAGCGATGAGGAAAGCACATGATGAGAAAAGACCTAGCCAATCATCTTTCCTTCTGCTGAGCATCTAGGGACCCAGTTGATTTAAGAGATCATCAACTGAAGTATACAGTAGTTAACACTGATGCTCTGAATTCTGAGGTGGTTTTATTTCAAAACTGAAAATAAAAAAGAGGCTGCAAGTCTGTCTGGATTAAATGGAAGTTGGTTGTGTGCCAGAAGAAAATTCATCACACTGACATAGAGAGCCTGCTAGCAGGAATAAAGATGAAATCAGGAGCAGCTTGACTGGAAAGGGAATGAATATTCTGCTCAATGGCAGATTCAGAGTAGGATGACTATTTTTCAGCAGAGGCAGAATGCCAGCAGCTGTGCTGCTGTCTCCATGGCAAACTGGATCTCACAATTTGAGAAGGACATGTTGCAAGACACCTTTAGCAACGCCTGAATGCTGGTGCCCAGAAAAGACTGGGTACTGAGGAAGGAGCTGGGAAGGAGCAGCAGGACTTTGGCAAGGGGAGGGCCTCACCAGGCAACACAAACCAAGCTGGAGTACAGCACATGGCCTCTCTCCTCAGCTGGCCAGGGAGACCAGGAGGCAGAGACCAGCTCTGTTCCAACTGGGCTGGGATGTGACAGCCAGTCACTCTGTCCAGCAGGTTGTAAACAGAAAACAAGCCTTTACTGATGCATACAGCTGGGTCAACCATGGTACCAAAACAGAAGCACATCCTTTTTGAGGCATCAAAGGTTCAGGGCCAAAGCAACTACACCATACCAATTCACTCCTTGGAGTCCCCAGCAGCCCTGCTGGGTGACAGCCACCATGCTCTAGCCACCTGATGGGCAGCCAGCAAACCTCCACTCCTTTCCAATCTGCCTGAGCAGTTGCACAAGGCTCCTTTGACTACACAGCTCAGTTTTCTATCCTCGTCTGACCATTCCCAGGAAGGAAAACAAAGCACACCTAAGTGCAGATATGGTGTTTTAAATGCCTTTTCATGACAAGACCATAACAAGCTCAGTACATTTGGACAAATGATTGAAAATGAGTTTTGCAATTCAAGCTGACTACTGCCAACTATGCCCAGAAATTCAATCTCTGCCTCATGTTTCTAGCACCAATTGATATTTTCCAGCATTCAAAATATCAAGGAACATTTATAGGGGAAAGGAAAACCACAACCTCAACATTGCTATTGCTTTTATATGTTGTTACATTGCTCTTATGTGCTGAAATTCCCTAACGACTATCAAAAGCTGATCAAAATGCTGGAAGGGTTTTTTTTTGACAGACTTGTTGGATCAAATTGAAATGTATTAATCCTTCTCTAACCATCAGCAACCTGTCAGTGATCAGAGTGCCCACTCCCCAAGGATGCCTGTTACCTGTCTGCCACCACGTGTCCACGAGGGTGCAGCGCCCTTCTCCCACCACCTGGTAGAACCACTGCCAAGCCTCCTTGTTGATGGGCTCTCCCACTAGAGCAAAACAAGAAAGTGGCCTGAGACTCAGGAAGTTGCAGGCAGTTAATTCTCCCTCTTGGTGCACAACAAGCTGAATGAATGATCTCCAAGCAGAATGCTTACAGCATTTTTGCTGGGATGCATAAAGGACTGCAGTGCACTCATGTAACTGAGAACTTTTTCCAGAAGACCAAGAAGCAAGCAATGAATATCACTTAAAGTAACTAATCAATGTAGGTCATGTTTAAGAACCTCCCGAATCATAAAGGATATAATACAGGAAAATGCTGCTGGGGCCAGCAATGTCAGTGAAATTCAAAGTGATGTAATTTACCACTGGATACATCTGTTTAGCGAAGAATGTGATCCTGCAAAATAAGCTAGGAAACAGGCAATCACACAGATTCAATGGCCCCAAATGTAGTTTGCTGCTTCTTCTGCTGAGAAAATATTTGAAAAGCCAGACACAGAGCCTGCTTTATCATATTTTTTTTTAACTATATCCCATGTGATCAGCTGAACTTCTCTGGCCCCTCTTTATTTCACCAGCTAGAACCTCTTGCCTTTTTCAGATGAAAATTCTATGTCCCCTACCTGAACCCAAAGTCTTCAAGGAAGATCTGTCATACTTCTTCACCCACTCTTCTCCATAATTCAGCAGTAAGCGTATAGCCGTAGGTGCTGCATAAAACTGATTAATTTTCAACCTTTGTACCACTTCCCAGTAACGACCTGCAAAATCACAAACAGGCTTTTTATCCATCTAGCACTGATATACCACTATAAATGCTCAGCTGAAAGGGTAACAGGCGAGGATGAAGCTGTGACTACTGAGAGTACAGAGCAAAAGCAATAACAACCTCCTCTCCCCCACCCTGCCAGATGCACAGATGTTCCTGAGCGCTGTAGACACATGTTCCAAAGAAATGGACCTTACCTCTCCTGAGAGGGCAGGTCATGCTGGGTAGGTTTCTAAACCTCTTTTGTCACACGGCCATGTCTAGCCAAACCATTTCCCACCACTTCCTCACCTGGGTCAGGGTACAGTGGAGTACTTTCAAAGAGGACAGAGGTGGCTCCATTGCAGAGTGGTCCATACACAACATAGCTATGTCCTGTGATCCAGCCAATGTCAGCCACACAGCCAAAAACATCGCCTTGCTGGTAGTCAAACACATACTGCAAAGATAAATGTAAGGCCAGCTGACTTCCTGTTGGTAAGTTCAAAGGGCTTAAAGGTAAGGTGTTGGACTGGACATCCAAATGGGAGGAAGGGAGTGCACAGGGTAAGTGGAGCCAAGCCTGCAGGACACAGCAGCACAAAGACCAATCCACAACGAGGAAGCAAGGCAGAGGGACCAGTACCAGGACTTACTGGCTCCTGTCTACTTTTGCAAAAATACATGGAGCATGGCTGTACCAGCTGAATCAGCTGGAACAACGAAGCTATAACCAAAGCCCAGAGCCCTGGATACCTAAGCTTGCGTAATCCAGGCAGTGCACATTGTAGAGATGACTCTCAGGGAAACTGCAGACCTCAGAGTCTCAGACTCCTCACCAATATCAACAGATTTCCATGAGAGCTGGAGGAACTGACAGGTGCCCATAAAACATCTTCTGAGAAATATTCTTAGCTTCTCAGCTTCTCTATATCAGTGCATTGCTTTCCAGATGCTACCGTCTCCCAGCTCATCAAATTCAAGATAAATGTCTTGAAGATCTCATTGTCTCATCTTGGTTATGGAAAATGCTTCCCACTGTAAATCTAACTAACACCTCTACCGCAAGGTGAAGAGATCCTGACTCATATGGCACAGGCAGCTTTATGGATTAGAACTAAAAGAAAAACCCATGAGTGTGTGACAAGAGTGTCACATGTGAGTATGCCAAGGCCACAGAGATCACACAGGTCAGCTGATCCCTCTACCTAGGATAGCCAATTCTCAACTTACTTTTCTAAGTGCCTTTTCCTCTCAGGCACTCTGTGGGTGGAGAAAATGCACCAGGGTGCAGGATCTGTCTTCTGGACGAAGAAAGAGATGCCTTAGAGATTACACTGTCACTTCGAAAGCTGATGTAACAAATGCCCTTCATATGCAGAGAAGTCTGACACTTGAACATTTAAATCTTCTAAAAATTCAACTGTGTCAGCCCAAAGAAAGAAAAACCTCCACCTGAACTGCTGTGATTACAAACAGGGTGATACCACTAAAGCCAGTTGAAGATTTTTCACTAGAGTCTCCTCTTTTCCTCATTTCACTGTTACCCTTTCATATGCAGAGCTCAGACCAGAAGCTTCAAGAAGTGCCTTGACTCTTTTCTTTTCTTTTTCAGGAGAAAGGAGGTTAAAACATTTTGCCTAGATCACCCAGCAAAGCAGTGCAGAGGTGCAACCACTAGAGTAGACATGCAATTTTTGCTCTTCAGACAAGTGCTACGCAAAGAGGTTGCTTTAGGAAATAAAAAAGGCTAGCACCCCACTGCAATATACTACAGTAATATCCACATTACCAATGCCAGTAAGATACTTACCAGCATCTCCTCAGCTGCAATTTCTGGGAAGCCAAAGCTGGCACATTTTAAATGCAAAAGCAGCACTGCCTTTTCCTTCCTTTCATAACTACTCTAAGGTTCAGGTTTGCATAATATCCTATTCCCCAGGAACAAATCCTGAAGATTAATTACAGTTTCAGGTATTTTTCAGCTTGTTTACACCCAATAAGCCAACTGGGCAGCAAACAGAGAATACAGCACTCCTCACCAATTCAAGTCTCTCTTGTTAGCACAGTTGGAAGGTAAGGGAAGTTTTTCCAGAGGATGCATCTGAGTTACCTTGTGCGTGAGAGCGGCGTACAGCAGGTATCCAGCCTGGGTGTGAACGATTCCTTTGGGTTTCCCAGTGCTGCCTGAGGTATACAGCATGAAAAGCATGTCTTCACTGTCCATGCTCTCTGGTGTGCATACAGAAGCTGCCTTGGTCATCTCCTGAGGTAGCAATGACAGAAAGATTTAGCTCTATGGAGCCAAGCATTACTCCTTCTGTAAGCATGTGTCCAGAGACAAGAACCACCATTGCTGTTGCCCCCTCACAAATGTCCATGGACATATCATGGGTGATGTGGGCTCACTTAGTGGAAAGGTTGCTGTGATGCATAGTGTGTAACCTTCCCACCAGTACCTCTGCCAGGCACAGAAGTCAAGAGGAACTTGGCCAGATAAAATAACACTTCAGGAAAAAAATAGTGTATCATAGCTGCTTACATTTCAAACTTTTGCAAGCTGCTGGTAGAAAACCAAAGTGTGATTGGAAACATGAATCACACTTGACAGTAGCAGCAAGGCTGACTGGGTACCATTCAGGACCTTTCTTTTCCTTTTAGAACTGCAGTGCTACAGTTAAACTGTGCATGCATTTCCCTTCCCTGGCCCCAGCAGCAGATGACTGTCCTGTCCATTTGATCCTCAAATTCTAATTTCTTCTACCCAGGAGGAGAGTGCTTTACTCTCCTGTCTCTGTCACTCTCTTCATACCCCCCATCTGGCCAGCTGGCTGAGATCCTCTCCTTACCCCTACATTCAGAACCACAGGAGGGAAGGATGCAATGTCCTACTAGGTCAGAGCAAACTTTTGGTCCAGCCTGTGTGCCCAGTCCAGCAGAGGAAGGGGAAATAATGTGCTTTGAAAGAGGTGCTTGTGGTCACTGGATGTTTTAGCAGCAGAGGGCTTGTCTACCCAGGCTGTAGATTTATCAGGATGAGATTGAACATTTTTCTTATCCATGTACAAACTTGCAATAATCAGTGTGTGTTCCAAATGCTCAACATACGGCTGTAAAAAAACCCCACAGCTGGCTTGAGTCTCTTGAGCCCTGTACTGTACTAGATGAATGATTCCAGCAAGGGTTATTAGGTGGCTTCTTGTAGGAATTTCTAGGTACTGCCTTTTTATGAGTATACACTGTAAACATACTGTATTTACAAGTGAATACTACTATCAGCAGGTCTAGTCTGACAAACAAAGCTCAATAAAATAAAGTTGACAGTCCAGTGTTACTCTTAGCCTGCCTCTGAGTTACCCAGTCTGACAAACAAAGTTTAATAAAATGTAGCTCATAGTCTGGTGCAATTCTTAGCCTCTGAGTTACAGCACTGCTGCTCATCTCAGGTATTTATTGTGACATTTCAGCACTGCCAATTCGGGCTGACTTGCCAGTTTTTGAAACAAAGATGGAGTCCTCATATGCTCCATTATAACATGAGCTTAAATTTTGCAGTGAGGCATTGCACAAGAGCTGGAAAGCACAAGTGCTGTAAAGATCAGTAACGACAGAGGTAACAGCATTAACTGTTTCATTCTTGCTTTGTTTCAGACCCTGACAATGTACTGAGCTCAGCTCCTGGATCATTAAAGCACCTCAGGCTGTTGGCAGACTAAGGAAAATCAAAAGGTCCTTTGTGGAGTAGGGAGTAAGACAATTTCTGAATAAAACCTTCCTTCTCTGTTTAACTTACAGCAGTAGTTGCTCCTATCTCATGTGACCAGCACAGACCCTCAAGCAATTATCTTGCCTGCAGATGGATGATTTCCAGACATTATTAGAATGCATAGTTTCTGTTAACTGCTGCTGGAAAACTGATAAAACTACTTCTGCTAAAAACATAAAAATAACAGCTGCCTTCTTTGCCAGGAAGCACAGGTTCCAAATACTCCCAAGCCACCACTGTCCTCCCATTGTGGAGCAACACTGTTCACAGGCTGTACTAAGCCTCTCTAGGAACTTGATTATTTCTGTACTGCCTTTCAACAATGCACATGCAAACCGTAAGAGAGTGTCTGAACTTAGTATAATAACAACAGCAAAAATGGTCTCAGTGCCCTCTGGGATTCAGGAAACATTTATTTCTTAAATCTCAGCACTGTTTGCAAGACTACTAAAATGGAGCAGCATAACCCCTGCCTGTGTTGAGATAAATGAGATGTGGACTGAGCTGCTTCGACTCACAATCCTAACAGACTGTAAATACAGGCAATCCCTTTGAGGATGAAGATCCAGATGATATAAGGAGCAGAACTCTAGTCCAAAAGGCACAGATGGAGAGAAAGATTATCCTAGCCAACACTCAGACCTAAAAGAAGTTATCCAGAGCACCAGTGAGCGTCTGTAGCAGCACAGGAAGAGCAGCACACACTGAAAACCTGCTCCAGAAGCAGCATAAAGGCCAGACATCACTGTCAGGCCTGGTAGAGCTACACTGGAGTGCCAAGCTGCTTCATAGGCTTTCAAGCTCAGCACACACAATGCAAGGAAACTGCCATGGAGACTGTCTCATCTTTCCTGGCTGCCAATTCCTAGTGTAGCCTACAGCAGATCAAAGACCAGAGCCAAATACCACAGTGTGCATGATCCACACATTTGGGAAGTCTGTTACACGTGTTCTGAACAGCCCTGCATCAGGTTTCTCAGAGATGCCTGGGGTAGGTGGTCCCTACATTTATTAGTTCACCACATTTCTCTTCCCAGGCATAGTAAACATCATATACTTCAAGAAACACCAGGAATACAGGCAAGGTTTACCAACGACAACATACCTCTTCAAGGGGAATATCACAGTCACCCATCTGGACTTTGTTATCTGTCCTCTGAGCCACAAAGACATGTTTGATGCTTGGACAGTTCTTCACAGCTTCATCCACAGTCATCTTCAGCTCTATGATTCGACCTCCCCTGACTCCCTGGTTGTAGGTGATAACTGCTTTGCATCCAGCTAAGAAGAAAAAGAATTAGCAGACATACCAGCCTGCCTTCCAGGCTAGTGTGCACAGCCTACTTTCATTACTTTTGGGGATGATGTATAGGACAGCATGTGTGTCAAATACTTAGAACCACTATCAGCCAAAAACAGTCAGTGTCACTGATGAAAAAACTTTAAAACCTGAGACACACAGAGATTAGGGGTAGCTGGAACCTCCAGAGGTTATCTAGTCCATCTCCCCCACCCCAAGGCAAGGCCCACTCCAGCTAAACCACTTCTGACAACTATCTGTTCAGTCTTCCTAAAATGCTCCAATGGCATCTATTCTACCCTCTCCCCACCAGTCCACTCCAGTGCCTATCAGGAATATGAGAAGGTCTTTCCCAACATCTACCCTAAGTATCACTCACTGTAATTTAAATCCTCAGTTCCTGCCTAGCAAAGCTGACATGCAGAACAGCTTCCTCCCAGTTACCTGTGTTGCAGTGAATGATACTGCTTTAGGCTGACAGCTCTCACACTGAAACCAGGGCAACACCTCCTATCATTTGTGTGAACAAGCATTTTTGCCCCTCTCTCTGACGCTCCATGTAAGCATCCATTACAAACTGACACGGACACCTCAAAGCTCAGCAGCCTCTTGAAGGTGTCACCCTGCTCTGAGATATCTGCGGCCTTCTGAAACTTTTCTGTACTACCTGGAAGCCACAGCACACAGCAGCAATCTGGCAGAACACTTCAAACTGCACCACTCAACATTATTACAGAGCTGTGGCTGCAGAGAAACGGCTCTTCAGTCCATCACCTCCACACAGGTGGCCAAAAGTGAGGGATAACTAAAACATGTATTTGCTCTCTATAGATTAACTCCACTAAAAGAAGGAAAAAAAACAATGAAAATTTCTGTAAGACTTTTCCCCTCACATTAGCCATAAAGGAACTGATGTGACTGCTACGGGACATGAGCCACTTGCTATTTAGCTCTTCTGTCAATACTTTTAGCATTACTTTTTACCTAATCACACAAGTGCTGTGGGCTGAGAACAGCTCTGTCTGCTGGTACAAGGGCTCACAGAGCAGACGCAGGCTGCCAACACTTCCAGTACCATACATAAATCACGGGATTACCACTGAGAATGCACAATTAGTACTGTGCAAGAGTATCAAAGAAATCACTGCAATTACACTGCAAAAGAACAAATCAGGCCCCATCCCTAAGCTCTGGTTTTCCTTTCAGCTTCATTGCTAGCTGGCAGTAACCCAGTGCACACTGAACGCTAAGCAATTTATAAAGTTTTTTAAGGCCAGAGGATATTGCATCTCTCCCTAAGGAAAAGGCTCTTCAATGCACTCCGCAGAGGAGAGTAAAGTCAACAAAGAACTGGAGTATGTCTTGGACCACTGTCCCAGAGGAGTTTGTTCCCCAGTCTGCATCTACTTACAGTCCATGATTCTCCCAGCTAAGGACTCTGCGCTGAATCCGGCGAAGACCACACTGTGAATGGCACCAATTCTGGCACAAGCCAGCATGGATGCCACGGACAAGGGAGACACGGGCATATAGATGGCCACCCTGTCCCCTTTCTTTATCCCGTATTTCTTCAGGGTGTTGGCAAGACGGCAAGTCAGATCCAGAAGTTCCCTGCAGGCACAGAAGCAACACTGTCATGTGATTGTACAACCAGTTTTACACAAGGGGAACAAAGAAAAGATGAACTTTTCTTTTTGTATGAGTGAGGTATCACATCACCTCTGGACCTCATCTCAGCAGTACTGGGCACATCAGCTTTTGCATTTTAAAGAACAGTAGCCTGGGGCATGATGAGAGTCAGACTGCTCCTGCCGTTTCCGAGAGGAGAAAAAAGGGCAGGGAGCGATGCTGGCTGCAGAAGGATGGGTGAGACAGAGCTGCAGGCACTGCCTGGAGCTGCCAGGCTGTGATGCGGGCAGAGCAGACACTAGTGTGAGGGGCAGATTTTACATGACTTTCATCAAAGCTGGATCACCTGCAGCCCAGTTTCCTCTGTTGTCACTTCACCCTGCCACGCTGCAGAGCACAACAGCCTTGCAGAACAGAAGTACTGCTCCGAATAAAACTGCAGCCACTCTTGCATAGAGAAACTTGGGAACATCGAGAACAGGAACAAAGGCTCTTTTCATGTGGCTCGCCATTGCAACAAGCTGTCTTAATAGCAAAAACATTCCTCCAGGGAATGAAAAGGCAGTTTGTGGGCAAAGGCTTGCACATACACTTATTCTGCACAGGGGATAAGACGCCTGCAGGTACACCTGGGTCCAAGATGCTGTCATGTACTGAACAGCTCTGTGTGCCTCCAGTGGAAAGGCTTCAGGAACAAAAGCTACTGTACCAGATGAGGAGTGGTCTCATGCCAAAGGAGGTGACCCTAGGAGGGGTGGCAGGACACTCCTTCTGTACCAGTTATCAGCTCAGAGGAGGAGACTGGCAGAGTCTGCCCAAAATGAAAATTGTCCTCTGGGTTCACAAACCCTCTAAGTACTGAAGCCTAGAGGAGAGAGTTATCTTCTACACCCTAGGAAACTCATCTTCAACCTGTCACCTGTGAACCCTTAGGGGTTGTAAGCTATGCCACCAGGGACCCCCATAACTGTTAACAAAGAAATTAATTTTGGTGGTTTGCATTCCATAATAAACTGTAAAGCATAAATCTTTATCTTATGTGCCCTCTTCTCACAGAACTGACCATAGCTGTGAAAAAACAAAGAAACAAACCCAATATTCAGCTGTTGGCTAAGCTTCAAATCAAACGAAAAGCTGTTCCTTGCTCATCAAAAATTGTTTTGTTTCCTTTTTTAAACCACTGCAAGTTGGAAATAGGGAAAGCCCAAGTGCTCTGCTTTGGAAATGTCATATCAAAACTTGGCATCTTACTTCCATAGGATAAAACTCCATCTGCACTGTGAGGGCACGAAGAAACACAGCCATTGAGAAAGTATGAAGACAGATCCAGTGATGGCTGGAGGGACACCACTTCCCTCCCATCTTCCGTCCCATCTTTTAGAAGACAAGGAAAATGAGCCTCAAATCCAAGGCATGGCACCTCATATTATTTATTTTAATACTATTCCTGTAGGATCAAGTAAACAGTCCATTTCTGGACAGGCACTCAGAGCAGTGGCCAGACATGCTCAAGTGCCTGTTCTCTGGCAGTAGCTGGCAACAGCTGCCACTGCAGAGAGACCACAATCCTGCAGAAAGCAGGTATGGAGTGGCTGCACCCTGGACTGAATTTCCCCCTAATCCCTTATGGTTAGAGATCAGCCTAAACTCTAAAGCGCAACATTCAATCACCACTTTCCAACCCCCTCATGACCATGCATGTTCCTACTGTCTACATAAGTGCACACACAGTCTGTTAGATTTATTATTTTGCTTACTTTTACTGAGTTCATGAACTGAGCTACTCTGCGCAATAATGATTTCCCACCCCATGTTTGGTTCAGTGCCTTGTCCTAAAAGGTCACATTTTCTGGTCTGGAATTTATCTGATGCTGCATTAGAGAAAAATGTCTGTGTGGATAAATAATAAAGAGCCCAAACAAAACTAAGCTGCTCAACTGCAGAGCGCAGGAAGGGAAACAAGCTCCAGACAGGCAGTTGTGAGAAAGTAAAATAAAAACTATTTATCTGCAATGGAAAAGACTCGAGTGTTTTCAGAGCTGCAGCCTCTTTCTCCTGAACAGAAATGCCAGAGTATCACTGGCTACGATGTGTTTTCTGAGCAGCTCTATGACTCCCTTGCTTATTCAAGACTCAGTGACCATGATGGCAAAAGCTCTCATTGTTTTTTATGATTAACTCAAATTTAAGATCGGCTTAATGAGAGTGTATGAGCAAGCTAATAAACAATACAGAGCAGTCTTTACCCACAGATCTATTCACTTTGCCTTCTTTGTACTCTGAAATGCCAAGATAGGAAGGCCTTGAAGGTCCCTTGGTGGGTGCAGCGCATGGGGGAAGAGGCACAAAGGCAAAGGGGTGAAGCCAAGAACTCCAACAAAGAAATCCACTAGTCCCTGAGCATCAGGTGTGTCTTCTGGCTCCTGCAGCAGCAACTCAGGCTCCCCCTCCAGTTCAGGAAAGGGAGTTAGCAGAAATGCTGTGTCAGGAATCCTTCCCTTGACTCCTTCATTCCTACAAGCACACTTTGCTATCTAAAGGCAGGTAATTAGTACATGTCATCATATAAACACTTTGCCAGTTCTTAACCCACATACATCTTGGGAAGGAACGAGCACCCCGCAGAGTTGCTGCCCCACAGAACTGTGTAGCATCCAAGACAACTGTCCACCCTTCCTGCAGACATCCTGAACCCAAGGCAAGGGAAACCCCTTGCAACCTTTTTCAGGTGAGAAAGTGAGAAATCCACGAACTGCCTTGAACAGGGAAAGCTGAAAGCCTAGGCAAGATTTACTTGCAACTTGCAATTTATGAAACCAATACTAGAAAGACAGAAAAGTGTTTGCTGTCAATGGTTACGTAACAACATGGCTTCCAACTGCAGTATTCACTGTGATCTCTAATACAAGTGCAACTATTTCAGCTCAGGCTGAGGAATCCATTGGTTTTTTGAAGGCATAGCTGTCGTGTGGCTCATGAAGATGTCCAGCTGCTTCTCTCCTGCCTACCTAAGACCCTAATTTTTGGCCCTTCAGTTTTCCTCTCCCTACTTTCATTTTGCATTTTGAACATTCCCTTTGGTCACAATATTTACTGCACCAGAGTGAATTCCTTTTTAAATTAAAACCCTTCTGTTGAGACC